CACATAAAATAAAGTCAGGTATTAAGAAAGAAAACTGTAAATAGATTCATCAGAGATAAAGAGCTAAATTAGAGAAAGATGGTGCAGAATTTATCACACCTGACTTTAAGCATCTGCCTGTGTGATGTCTCCCATCTGACCAGTTTATCCTAAACTCCCTTTACAGACAGTGGAAATAATATATGATTCATCTGACTTATTTGAGAGACCTGCTTTAGAATGACATGACTTGTGCCCTACTGGTACTTGTTTCTCTCCATTTCCAAGAAGGGAGTTTCAGTGATTAGCTCAGATGGAGACATCTGCATGTGGCCTCATAACTCCCAGCCAGGGAGTCATCTTGTGTTTTACCTCCCATTAAGCACCATGCAGGAGGTTGATTGCCATTTTCATATGTGGAAGGAATTTTTTTCCCAGGCAGCTAAAGTGGCACATGACTATATGAGGTTCTTTTTCACATACTATCTTGCAATCAGGAGGGCTGGCTTTGGGTTGATTTACAATTGTTGGATTGGCTTTTAGTGCACTTCTTTATTCAAAATGGTCCAGTGGAGGTCACCAAGCCAGCAGACTAAAATTTTGATCATCATCTGTACTGTGGTTTAAAATGGTAAAGAGCGGCACTGGCTCTGTCTTTAACAGAAGTTGTAGCTCTTTCCATCTGCCTCTCTTCTCCATGCTGTGTGCACCAATGCCATTGGATGCCTCTTCCCACAGAGGCCCTCAGCAGGGTGGAGGGCAGATTCACTCTTGGGACGTGATGGTGCCTGGTGAAATCTGCATTGGGTAACCTTGCTGGATAATTTAGGATACAATGGGAAAGGCTTTAAGTGCAGCAATTAACCATCACTTCTAGCTGCACTAGGGTGTCTAAGTCTCCTTTTCCTATCAGATGTCAGCTGTACAATATGAATGTAACAGAAGAAAAACAGTAACATAAAATGAAGTTGCATTAACCTAAAAAATGGCAAGTGTGTATTACAAGTTAACAGTCCTTTACTGCACCCACACAAAGTTCAAATGTTCACAAACGAAATGACGTGAAGACAAGTGCGCTATTTTTAAAATACAACAGTCTGATAAACCTTGAGCTACCTGAGGACAAAGCTAGTCCTGAGTTACATACACATTCCAATGAGTAATTAAATATTAATCTAGAAAGCTAGTGGTAGTTTCTTACAGGTCTTGACATCATTGAATCTTGCAGAGGCAGTGCTCAGAGCCAGACCTGTGCTCTTTGCTCACACATCTCACATTAATTTTAAATGGAATCATCTCTCTGTAAAAACTGAATAAAAATTGTAGGGCATGGGCCTTACAGTATTGCAAACAGTGTTTTAGAAACCTGTGGAAGATGCTGAGTCTGAGAGCCTTGCATTCAGAGCTCGAACTCAAATCTTCTTCCCTCATAAATATGGTTGATACTCTGGGGTTTTCCTATCCAAAGGAGAAACTTGATCTAAAATGATCCTTGCAATATTTTACAAGGCATACTTAACCTCCTAATGTGTGTCATGCAAAGATTAAGAGGCAGTGTTATTGCTTGCAAAATCACCTGCTATTTCCAGGAAACAGTCATTTTCTGGACCTGTCCTTGTCACTGGCATAAGTATAATGCTTTTAATAATCTCCCATTGCCTAAGTGATGTGTTTGCATCAAAATGATGGATATGCTATAGCTGGCAGAACTTTTTAAGATCTACTTGTTTCAACCTTGTTCTTCTGCTGCCATCTAGAGGTTTTATTCTTAGATTCACAAAGAAGAAAATAAAGTGCTTTATTATATTTCAAAGTTGCCCTTAAAAATTGTCTGCACCTTAACATCACTTAAGGTGCTATTATCACTGAACCTCTGTCTCTATACAAGAGCAGATTAATGAAGTGTGTACAGGTTTTTGATCTCTGGGATGCAAGTGAGCCTTATGGGCTTAAGTAAGACTTATACTAGAGGCCAACATTGCCATAAAAAAAATTCTTTTGCTCATAAATAGCACCTGTAAATTTGCCTTAGAAGGAATTCTCATAGAACTTGTTTTCCAGCAAATAAACAGCAACATATCAAAGCAGACTCAAGGTAAGCAGGTGCTTGGAGAAAAGGCAGCCTTGCCAGCCTTGCAGCAGAATGCCAACGTGGCAGGCACAGCTAGGACTTTGGCCCACCAGCACAACTGGCTGACATCTGCCTCCTGTGACACGGTGGCCATGCTCCATTTCACGCTAGCATTGCTCAGAAAGGCACAACACGAAACTCAGACAACACAAAACTCACCAGTGTGACAGAAAATCATTCTAATAATTAATAATAATCACTTCTTCTCGAAGGTAACAGAAAGAGCTTATTCACCATAATGGGCTCCTGGCTTTGTAAAAAAAATAGGTTCACATGCAGTATAAATGAGTCCATCTCCCTTGACCTCAGTGTGAAGAGGTTAATTTGGCATCAGACCTTCTCGAGCAAATCTTACCTTCTTGTTTTACCCCTTCAAATGTTTATTAATTAAACTAATGCTAACCCCAGGTCCGTGGAAGGCAAATGCTAATATGCCTCACCATGTATTCCATCTGAATAGATTACTGGAGCATCATTTTTGTCCCTCTGATATCCATCCAATTCTACTGCCCCTCCAGGCAACTAGGTGCACGTTGTGTCTGGAAAGATAGTCCCTTTTAAACAGAGGTGAACCGAGTCATTTCCTAGCACTGATAACAAGATTTTTAAATGTGTACAAAGGAACCAAATGTACACTGAACACTGAAATATGTGAAAGAGTTTCTAGGAAGTCCTTAGCCTTTAGAATACAATGTTCCTGTGAATGATAATTTCTGTACTTCAGCAGAGGATTAGCTGTCATAGTAAATTATTGCTGTTTGCCTGGAAGGAAAAAAGTGAAACTTCCTTAACTAAGAAGGCCAGCAAAAGGTAAAGCAGAGATGAGACTAACCTTGTCTCCTGTGCCCAAGGATACCTCTTAAAAGCTGCCATAACATGCAATAATTTGATAAGTGTCAGCTAAAATTAACCTGTGTACTGTAGAAGGAGATAAGAATAATATTAAATTCCTGCTGATACTCACTTTGTATGCTACGGAGACTGGCTCTGATGTTGTGTGAGCCTGCCATAATAAGATTTGGAAAACCTTAAATACCTTTAATAAGAAATTAGAATAAAAAAGAAGAAAATATGGCTTATTTTGTTCAGACTTGCTGAAGTTCTTGTGATGATGGATTCCTATAAAAATATATTTTCATATTTTGACAGATACTCAAATGGTAAATCCTTACTTTTCTTTGTGTCCTAAAATCTCCTAACTAAAGATATTAAAGATAGTAGCCTCATGTTAGTACCATGTTCTTCAGTCTTTAAACCTCTTGGACACTTTCATTCAATGACCAGATGCAGAATGTGGATTCTTAGCCACAAGTTTTCACCCCCCAAAAAAGTACTTTTCATCACTCAGCATAATTTCTGGATGTTTATACTGTACTTAAATATAAACTCACTGTTCATTTGCTCTGGGTAACAAAAATCTTTCAAAAAGTTTTTTATTTAAAATCAAAGCATCTTTTATTAAAGTGTGATCAAAGGCTATATGCCTTCCAGAGCTGGTCTGTTGTTTTTTCTCATGACTACTCACAGATATGAATGAGTTGCAAAAGAGCTTTGCAGTCTTTGGAGAATTTGAAATTACACTGAAGACATCCTCATCAGTACTTGTTCAAACCATCAGGTTCCTAACTAGTTTATATTACCATGCCCTCAATCCCTCCTTCACTACTGAAAATTAGAATAGAATACAAGAAAGGAAGAGAACCTCTCAAATATAACATTTAAGAATCTCACGTGAGAGGCAAGATACCTAGGTCTATTCTCCTTTTCAGTCTGTTTACCCAGCCAGATAAAGTAAAAAAAAAAATAAAAAAATTGATGCAACACTTCCAAATGCTAACCAAACTCAGCATTAGTGCACTACCCTTGATAGTCAGAGATACTGCTTCAAATTTCTATGGATGGGAAGGCAGAGGGAGGGAGTTGTTGCTCTTTTGTCTCCCAGATGTGTTCTCCAACCTGCTGCATCTGACAGATTATAAGTTGGTTTCTCATTTCATCTGCTTTTCATCTTTCTCCAGAACAAAAAAACATTGTGGTTCAGGTGAATTGGGTTTCAGACAAAACAATGAAAGTTATATGTCACTGAAATGAAATTTGAAAAAAAAAAAAAAAGAAGAAAAAAAAGAAGGAAACCCTGAAATTAAATTTGTTCCAAAACTATCAATTTTCCTGGGTTTTTTTTTTTTCAGTTCATCTGCTGCAGGGGGGAGAAGAGAAGGCAGAACAATTGTTTCTATATTTCCCACACTTAGGCCCAGAAGCTGAAACTCAGAGTGAAAGACTGAGCATCATCTTTCAGCAGTGATCCCAAACACAAATTTATAGTCTGTATTCTTGTGCCAAACACTGTCATCCAGTTTCTTCAGTGAAGATTTTGCAGTGCCATTTCTTCATGTGACCCCTCATCCAAGCTCCCATCTCCCACAATGCTCCCTTTCCATCTAGTTTATCCTAGAGACTGGAAGAAGTGACAAGAGAGGACGGCTGCCTTCAATGTGTATCACAAGTGCTACTTACCACTGGTCTTTGCTGGAATCTGCTTAGCAAGGAGAAAAACTTCTTCTAGGTACATAGGCAGTTTTTTATTGAGCAGGAAATCTGATATAAAAAAGCCATCGCTGCAAATACTCCATTATGTATCACATGAGAAATATGTGAGCAACGGATGCCCATCCTATTTGAATATTTCACAATAAGAATGTACTGAAATTTTTGCCTAGAAGAGCATCACTTCACCCATGGAAGAGTTCCCTTGTTCTTTTCACTGAGAGGAGAACCAAAGACATAATTATCTTAAGTGACTGAATTGTATACATATCTTCTGATGCCAGTTTAAGCTTGACCTGTATTGTAAAAAGTAAAATTAATGTTGCAAGTGCCACCCAGTGACTGTGATTAACCATAATTTGCATTCTTTATTGAAAGTCGATAGTCTGCTAGTCTACCAGCTGTGAAATTGTGCAATAAGCAATAATTAAACAATGAAGAAGAGTAAATAGAACTAGTTAGGTGTGATTTGGAGCAGTGAGTAGCAAAGGTGACTTTTAAAGTTTTATTAGCACAAAGCAGGAAAAACAAAACACAACCATGTGACCTATGGTTCAGTGAGTACAGAGTGAACATTGGTAAAGGTCTACTAAAATCCCACTATTGACAGAACAAGAGTATCACTACTAAAGCAAGACTATTCACTAAACTTCAAGGGCTTCAAAGCCAAAAGGACCAGCTCTGAATGTCGATAACTGCAGTTCACTGCCTTTACTGTTGGGGCTATTGTTCTCAGAGGCTTGTTGTATTGCTTGGACTGTGGGGGTTTTTTGCACAAGATTGAGAAGTGTAAAAATGAAAGTTTATTGTAGGTTTGTAGGTTTTTGAAACGTGTCATTTCATATGGGAACCTCTGGCAGGAATTTGGCTTTTTCACTGTTTGCAAGTCCTACTCTATTATATGCATTCAAAATGAGATCGCTGCAGAGGTGTACAGCACCACAGCACAGCTACCTCCCAAAGCAAACTTAAAAACTCAGTTTCCCTTTTGACATTACCAATGAATTTTGTGTGGCAATAGCTCAAATACAGCTCAAGTATTCTATTCTGTTTATCAGAAGGTGGAACTTCACTTGTTACAGGATCTTCACTCGCCCTCAGGTTTGAGGACTTCTTCTGATGGTGGTATTGGCCTGGGCTTAGCAAGTTGGCCAGGCTTAATTTCAGGCATTTTTTCACCATGTCTGTACACACTTACAGTGACATCCACTGTTTCCCCACCATACTTGTTCTTGACATGGATACTGTATTTGCCTGAATCTTCTGAAGTCACCCCCTTGATGGTTAAACTGGCGTATTTCCCTTGTTCCAGTGAAAATGAATAGTGCTCATCAATTTCAAAGGCCTTGTCATTCTTGAACCAGACCACTTCAGGGTCAGGGTTTCCAAATACAGTACAGGTCAGATTTAGTGTCTGAGGGAGAAAAACAGAAGTAATGCTGAGATCAGTAAGATTTGTTTAACCAGGATGTTCTCTGTATTGTTTTTATGCATTTTTTTATTCTTAGCTAATTAAACTAAGACTTGGTACCTTGTTCCCGAAGACTGAAAAGTAGTCCTTAATATTTCTTTTTCCCTTGATTCAGACTTTCCACCATCTCACCAGTAACTGTGATACAGTAATAGCCTCAGGCTTACAGTGTCTGAAGATGGTAAGTTGGACTGTCATTACAGTCCTGCCTGCAGGAGACTCCTGACAACCCATTAGTCTGACATGAGGTTCAGGCAATGATAGTTTTAAAAACATCCTTGAAGCTTTCCTGTACACAGCAGGGAGGAGAACTGAGCAAATCTTTTCTGACCAAGGCCTCCCGAGGTTATTGCTCAAGATGATTAAAAAAAAAAAAATCACTTCAAAATAGAATACATAACATGAATCTCTGGACACCGATTCCAGGTGTGGCTGACTGGTAAAGTGGAAATATTTTATGAAGAATAAATAATACCAAAATATTGGTAAAGTGCTCTTAAAATCATAGAATGGTTTGGGTTAGAAGGGACCTTAAAGATCATCTGCTTGCCATCCCCTGGCCATAGGGAGGGACATCTTCCACTAGGCAGGGTTGCTCACAGTCCTGTCCAACCTGGCCATGTGTTAAATGCATGTGAAGCATATTCAGAAAATAGCTGACATTATGTAATGGACCATCCTGGCAGCTAAGGCATTTTTCAAAAGCTGAACTGAGATTTAAGTAGCTTGTAAAATTTTCATGAGCATTCCTCCAAATTTTTATAGAGGTACTGCTGAACCACCCTCTAAGTGTGTGTATGTAAACTGCATGTATTTAGGTATTGTGGTCACAGAAAAAATGAAAGAAAAATCTGAGAAGCTGTATTGATTAGTCTGTACTTTGTTTACCTTTGCTGAAAACTCACTCTAGATAACTATGCCCTAGATAACTACACCACTTTAAGAATTCAACATATGCAGCATTTTGTTAGGAAAGAAAAAGGAAAAAGAAAACAGGAAAAAAATAAAACTAAGAAAAAACCCTACTGCTAACAACCCCAAACTGACAATTTCTACCAGAATTTTTCCTTATAGTCCCTCCACATTTCCCTTCAGGTTTCACCAAATCCTGATGAAGAGGGAGGTGAGAAAATCCATCTGTGTTCACACATGCACGTTTTTGAGAAACGTTTTTCTTGATTGACGGTGACTGAATAGGTGTGATATAACTCAGAGTAAAAATAAAGCAGGAAGAAATTTTCAGTGATCGAAAGCACCATATGTTCACAAATAGAAGTGGTCTTGCACAATTCATACATCCAGAGTATGAAAAAAAGCCAGAATGCTGAAGGAAGATTTACATACTGTGGGTACAGTGGCAAGCTAAGTCTGAGTGATTCCTGCAGTGATATTGTGTAGGAGGCAAAGTTAACTAATAGCATATAGAAACTAGACTTGATATAAAATATTTAAAGGAATGATGATGCAAACACAAAAATAAAATATTGGAAAAGTAACCTTTTTTCTAATATTCTGAGTTATATTCTTTCTGTCCTTTTTGTAACATGGGCAACATTTAATTACAGTTGCTTTCAAAAGTGACATCATTTAAGAGAAATTAATAATTAAATCATAATAATTAATCAAGTCTTATTAAGTTAATATGTAGCAGATAAATTCCACAGTAAATAAACTTAGCAGATATATTCCACAGTCATTTAAAAGATAATTTGGGGCTCTACTACTTATGAAATTATAGATTTGAACTTAAACTAAAATTATTCTCCTTCTGCTTTCAGTTTCTATGAAACCATTTGCATTCCCTCACCTTCTGACATCAAAGTAAACATCACACTGCTCAGCATGAAGAAAGCTGTCCTTACCTTCCCATCCATTATAGTAACGACATCAGGCAAACCACCAATGACTTTACCACGATCTAGGAGTTGAAGAAAAATATGGTGAATTTGTGAAGCTTAGACCTGAGAATTACTCATTTCTTAATGGTTTTGGTGTCATGACTAACAGGTTTGTTGCGGGTTTTTTTGTAATTTTAACAAGAAAACAATTTTTGTGATATTTTGGGAGGATTTTAATGTGTTGTATAGTCTCCTTAGATTTTTATGGTAGAAATTGTGCCGCAACATTCTAAACTGATAGACATAACAACCTTGAAGGTACTGCTGAGCTTGACAGTTTGTGTTTTGGGCCTAGAGGAAAGTAAGAAGGGCCCTCCTCTTGGTGGTATCCAAAACCTAAGGAAAATTTGTTCAGCCACGGTCTTTGTGGGAGGAAGCATCATGTCATCACCTGGGAATTGATATAATTTCCAGTACACCTAGAGTCCCTAGCAGTAATGAGCTTGCCCACAGTCTGGGTCTCAGCAAGCAGTGCAGAACAGACAGCAGCAGGCAAGTTTTTACTTAATAGAGAGATTCCCAATATTCAGTATTGCTTTCAGAATCAACACCTCCTTGCATGACACACAATTCACACTCCGCCAAATCTCTGCAGTCAAAAGATACACTAGAGGCTTGCAAAATATGTAAAGTATTTAGTTGGTTTCCATTGCAATAAACGACAACCAAATCCACAAATTGCTATTGTTATTGCAATAGTTTGAGTCAATAGAGGATTTCTCTAGCCACAGAACTCAGTAAGTTATGGTAGCATGTCATCATGGATGTTTTAAAAAGAATACTCGACTACATTGTAAAACACCTCTGATAAAATGCAAAATAAACTTACTCTTCTCAGCAAAAGCAGCTGCCCTAAAGTTGTTGAAAAAGAAAGAAAAACATATAATGTTATTGATTAAATTAACAATAAAATATTTTTTTGTAATAAAAAAGATACTATTGTTATGGCATTAAAATACAAAGGATGCAGCACTTACTTGAGCCGCTGGAATTCTGCATATGCATCATCAAAAGCTGTAATAAAGAAATTGAGAGGGTTATCTTCCATGGACATAACTTGCACTAATAAACATTTCAACACATACCCATGTTACAGATCTTTTAAAACTTGTACAGTCACACAGTAGCACAATGAGAAACCAGAGCCCTGAAAACTAATGCCGCTGGTGCTGGAAACAGATACAAGATTAAAAAGATAATAACAGTTATAAAACTTAGCTATGACTGCTTCTGATCAAAGACTATCTGTTTTTACTGCAATGTGTAGTTCCCCTTATCCTTTTCAGTGGGTTCACTTATCTGCAACCAGGCAACATCATCTCCACCTCCAATCTTCATCTTTTCACCAGAAGAAATCTTAGATTCCCTGGAAAAGCAAAAAAAAATTTAAAAAAATTAATAGAGTTTGAACATTCTTTTCCTGTATGTTGTTCATGGGAAATCATCTGTAAAAAGTCACAAATGATAACACAATGCTCCAAAGCTATAAAGAGAGTGTGACTAATGGACTCATTCTTCCAGAATACTCTCTGCTTCCGAGTGGGAGTACAAAACACTTTGAAAATATAAAGAAAGAAAGAAA